CTAAAAGACATAGACAACAAATAACTGCTCATTACAAAATTCAAAATCGAATATGTAGAGCTAAGATATTTAAGAAATGGCTAAAATGGCAACCAACCTTATAACCCGGTTTTCTGGCCATAAGGCCTCCTCAGGCATATGAAAGTATTTGCCTGAGTAGACATTACAGTCGAAACCTGGTTTCCAGGTTGGTTGGCATTTAGTTTTTTTTTATATATATATATATATATATATATATATATATATATATATATATATATATTTCACACTACTTCGTGCGATATTTTTGTGGATACTCATGTTTGAGTAAACGCCTTTAGTTACTTACGTCTCCCGGCCTAGACATCCATAAGTCTTAATAAAGTAAATGGGAGTATATTTTGCTTATTGCGTCTCTAAAAGAAAATAGACATCTTGGCAGCCGTCAGAACTGAAATACCATTTCCTGGGAAACCACATTTCAACCAGACTTTCCTTTTCCATATAAGCCACGGAAGTCCTTTCACTAAGGCAAGACAATTACACTATTTTAAGGTAAGTTTGGAACCTGGTTTTAAAACATTAGAAATATATATTATTGAAAGAAACAAAACAAGACGCACAAATACACACAAAGAACTTGATTCGATACGAGTGTCTTCTGTTGAAAAAGTATGAACTACAAACGACCCAAATGAAATAACTAATGCTTAGTTTATCGGATTTTATGAAGCGACTGTTCAAAGCGTTTTCCTATCCGACATTTTCAATCAGATTAGTCGACCATTTCAAACAACAAACTAGTAAACGATTGTAAGATCCAGTAAACAAGTGTGTTGCCAAACGGGCGGGAAAAAGAACACAGTTTGGAAAGAAATAATCAATGAAAGAGAGGCTCGTCAACATTAAAATAATATATCGATATTATAATTTACAAAGCGTGGCGTAGACGTGGCACAAGGCCGAATGTATAGTGCACGCAGATCGGGATCGAATTCGCTACTCAGTTATAAGTGATCTAGCGAGACAATTTTGCTAACCATTACACCTCGTTAAAGTGCTCTAAATGCTTATTTACTAAGCGTAACGGAGAGGCGATGAAAGCCGAAAATATAGATCTTGGAAGCCATTTAAGCTAGAGGGTTACTGTTTTAGTGTAATGACGCGTCTGAGATGGATGAAGGAGTAGGTGTTATGAAGTGAAGATTATAAAGACAAGCAGGTTATATAAATATTGGCCCTTATTAAGGAAAGCATCAACGCGGGAGTCAGTTCCACAAAGTGGCAGTTCTTGGGAAAAAGATGTTTGAGTGGAAATTTCTTTTTATATTTGAAAAGCAGAGGAAACGAGGATGATTCAACTCTGTGGAAATGACATGGCGTGTCCTACCTGTAAACATCAGAAGTGTTAGTTTTAAATAATGCAGTACATCTGTATCTTTGCCGTGAGAAATAGTGATAAAATAACGATAGGTCTACAACTTTGCATTTATGGGAGAGTTGCTGCAGACTGGTCCCCAAATATGGCGGTAATACACCATTTTGGGGTTTAATCTTACTTTTGTAAAGATAAAGTATGGTAGGAGTCAGGTAATTTCTGCAACGATAGAATGAGCTGACAATTTCTCCGAAGCATCTTCAGGAATGGATTTTATATATGCGTTCCACCATGGGAATCAGGATCTGATAGGTGAAGATGAAATGTCACTAGCTTCCTCTTTCAAGAATTGAAATTAACATTGAGCTGTTTGATTGTATATATGAATTCCACTTGATTTTTTTTTAAGCGTTTCACCCCAAGCAAGGCGGGAAGCCACTAGGACGCAAGGGGTTACAGAAAATTTGGAGCAAGATCAGATAGGAGTGATAGAAGAAAGGATGAGGAGAAGGGTAGTGGATAGATCAAGGCAACTGGAGATGTCGATTGACATTACATTTGAATAGCTGGAGATTATAGCTCTCAGGGAAACTGGAATAGGGAAGGGAGTTCCACAGGCGAGAGGTGCGAGACATGGATCTATTGGAATAGAAGAAGCACTGGAGTGAATCTGAAAGCCAAATAGCCATTCAAAAACATGGAGCCTCATTGAGTCTGGAACCCGTCATGGGAATCAGGATCTGATAGGTGAAGATGAAATGTCCCTAGCTTCTTTTTTCTGGAATTGAAATTAACATTGAGCTTTTTGATTGCATATATGAATTCCACTTGAGGTCTGGAGTTAATCTGAAAGCTAAATAAACATTCAAAACGTGATAACACATTGGAATTAGGACGGTTCATCGTGAATGGATAAAGCTCAGGATCTGATAGAGGATGATGATACTAGGTTTTTTTTTTCAGGTATCGAAAAATACTCCTCAGATTTATCCCTATTCACCTGTTATGTCAGCGGAGTGAGTAAGTTACAAAGTTGCAGTCATTTTAATTTGTAACTATGCTAACAAGAACATTGTGACTATAAAGAGCAAATATATCCACACATTTCAGTCGAAATCCGTCCGAGAGGATGGAACTTATACAAATTCTCTACAGGTTTGGAATCCGAGCAGATCGTCACATCCAGGCCAGAAAACTGGATCAGAATACATACTTGTCGAAAAAATACGTACTAAGCAGTCGTAAACAAAATAAATCATACTAAGTAGTCGAATTTCTTTGTTTCAGTAGATTACAGATTAGATCAGAAAGAAAGTGAAAAAAGATAGGTAAGTATCGTGACCTTTCCAGAGGACGAAAGAGGTTGGAAAACATAATGGTAACAGTTGTGTCAGTCGTTATTGGATCACTGGGAACGCAACCGAACGGCTTGGAAAAACGACCGGAGAAGTTAGAAATTAGTTGAGAAGTTAGAACCAGCCATACTGTGGCATTATTGAAATCAGTAGTTACTTTTCTTTACTGTGTTCCTTCTGAATGTGGGCGATCAAGATTCTCTACAATTTCTTGTTCTTTGTAGCTCCTAGTAAGTTTTTTTTTTTGCAAACCTTACTACTTCCTACCGTCCCGTGTATGACGATAAACTACATCTGGCAGCAAGGCCTCTGATGGGAGGTTTTGAGGATTGTGGAACCACTTCTTAATTTCTGGTGTTCACAGGTCCACCCTGCTTCAGGGTGGTAGCACCTGTTAAGGTCCTAGCTATGGGCGAATAATTACCCCCCCCAAAAAAAAAAAAACTGGGGTAAAAACACTATCAGGGTGTAAAATAAATTTTAATACCAGCAATACAAAAAAGAAATTACCAGTAATAGATTAACAAAAAAAAACCAAAAACCAAAAAACAGCAGCAATAAAAGTCTTCTTGGCATTAAATAACCCATTAAGGTTGATAAGCTGTGAAACAAAATAAACTAAACTAAACCTAATCCCTGTTTTGCTAAGCGTTTACACAAACTCGTTAAGTCAGTTATTCCCGACTTTCTAATTGTTCCTCTTATATTCTTTAAGTTTAATTCTCCAAACCCACTTTCCTCTTTTTACGTGGCCTAGAAATTTCGCTAGTCATTTCTGACTTATAAGATGAGTAATATATATATATATATATATATATATATGAGTGTAATATACAGTGTTGTTCGATAAAAGTGACTCGCCTGATTTTTTTACTAAAAATATTTTTTGTCTATTGTTTTGGGGGTTAAAATAATTTTGAATCTTACTAATATAAAGACCCCTTCCCGACCACCTAGGAAAAAAAAGTTTATTCACCCTAAGGTATTCTATTGATAATTATAAATTTGGATATAAATGAGATTCAAGAAAAAACTCTGTGCACAAAAAGTGACTCAGATATCGCATTCTAATGATTAAACTGGTAAATTTAAAGAGCTTTTGACAAAATATTGAAAACTATTTTACAATACACTCGGAACAATATTCTAGAGAATTCTAGAACAACTTATATTAAATCTAGAGTATTCCAGAATATTCCAGAAAGCCTCATACAGTATTAAAAACAGCTTGAAATAGCCACTCAAGTCACTAACCAGATGAAAGCGTACAAACACGCATCAGAACTACTTAAGGCATCTATTATTGACCTCTCAAAAGCAGGCAAGTCTACGAGAGAAATTGCTATAACCTTGCAATCAACTGTCTCTCGAGTGCTTAGGGCACATAATGATGCCACTCCTGCTCCAAGGAAGAAAACAAGGGGACGAAAGAAAAAGATTGATGATAGAACTGGCAGAGTAATCAAGAGAGAAGTTGCGAAGAATAGGACAATAACTAGCCAAGAAATTGCAGCCAGTCTAAGCGAAGAGCGAGGTGTTAGTCTTGCCTTTTCAACAGTCCGTCGGTGGCGGTTAGAACAAGGCTACAAATCTTGTACAAGAAGGTTTAAGCCACTAATAAGCAAAGCCAACAAAGCCAAGAGACTTGAATGGGCTCACTATTACAAAAATTTCACTGTAGAAGACTGGAAGAATGTTTTCTTCTCCGATGAAACGAACGTTGAGCTAAATTCAAAGGATAAGGTGAGTCACTTTTATCGAACAGCAATATATATATATATATATATATATATATATATATATATATATATATATATATATATATATATATGAAGAAAAGAACAGTAAGATATATAATCCAGTCTTCTTATAGATATTTATAATATTAATGCTCTGTAAATTTACTTACATGATTAGAACTGTGTAGCGAAAAAAAAAAAAAAACTATTTTAAATCAATTAATTTATTATATATATATATATATATATATATATATATATATATATATATATATATATATAAGTGCCATTTTGTTAACATTTTTTTCTTAAGACTTTCTAATTACTCACATATTCAGTCCATGGTATTCTCAGCATAATGCAGCAAGTATACAGAAAATTGTGGTATATTTACTAAGGAGACTTGTTGAGACTTAATTTCAAGTGTAGGCTACAATTACTACCGTTGTGAACACCACATGAATAAATAATAATAATAGTAATGATGGTGATGGTGATAATGATGATACGAATGAAAAAAAGAAAAGAAAAAGACAAATGAAAAAAGTATCAGATTAAGGAAAAAAGAAACAATGGAAAAATAACTAAAGAAGAAAAATGAAAGAAAGAGAAATAAATAAGAGGAGAATTAGATGAAAAAAAGACTAATAGAAGAAAAAAAAAGGTGATATCCCATAAATACTGAAATCATTGAATAACGCAGAAAGAAAATTAAATACAAATAAAAATGATAAAAAAGGAAGGACGGAAAATGAAGGAAAACTCATTTAAATGACGGAAATAATAACAAAAAAAAATCAAAGGTAGAAAAAAGAATAAAAATAAAATAAAAAAGAAGAAAGAGAGAAAGAAAGAACGAAAGAGGACATGGGGATCGATACAGGATAGAAACAAATAAATAAATAAATAAAAACAGAATAAAAATAGAAAAATAACTGAAATAAAAAAGGATAGAAAAGAAAGAGAGAAAAGGAGGAAAGGGAGAATGAAAATAATAAAAAAGAAAGAAAGAAAGGATTGATTGATTTGTTTTTGGCAGCTTATCGGTCGAAATACTTTAAATTAGGAGAATAATTCTTGCGTCTGAATATTAGATTCACAATATTTTTGAAAATAATAATAATTTTTCAGGATACTAGTACTACTGTTTAACCCATAGATAGAGGGAAAGAAAGATAAAGAAAGAACGAAGAGAGATTAGTGGAAGAGTTTGAGTTTAGAAATAAAAAAATCGAAACAGAATAAAAAGTAAAAAAAAGAAATGAAAGGATATAGAAAGAAAGAAAGAAAGAAAGAAAGAAAGAAAAAAGGGGTAGAATTGAAAAGAAAGAAAGAATCGGAATTGAAAAAAAGGTGGAAAGAATGAAAAAAGTAGACATGAAAAGAAAGAAAGAAATAGAATTGAAAAGAAAGAAAGAATTAGAAAGTTGGAAAGAAAGAAAGAAAGAAAGAAAGAAAGAAAGAAAGAAAGAAAGAATGAATGAATGAGTGAATTAGAATTGAAAAGAAAGGTGGAAAGAAAGAGGGAAGTAGACTTGGAAAGAAAGAAAGAATGAGAGAGGTGGAAAGAGAAAGAAAAGAAAAAAGAATTAGAATTGAAAAGAAAGGTGGAAAGAAAGAGGGAAGTACACATTAAAAGAAAGAAAGAATTAGAAAGGTGGAAAGAAAGAAAGAAAAAAGAAGGAGAATTGAAAAGATAGAAAGAAAGAAAGAATTAAAATTGAAAAGAAAGAAAGAAATAAAGAATTAAATAGCGGACCAAAGACTGGAACTGAAATGACATTAAAACGCCGAAGAGTATATGTGAATGGCTAGTTTATAAATAAATAAACAAATGAAATTGGAATTAAAAAAAAAAAGAATAAAAGCAATAAAAATTTTAAAGAAAGAAGGAGAGAAAGAATTTGAGGGAAAGAAATGGAGAAAGTTAAGTAGATACAAAACGCATCAGACAAAGAAACAGAAAAAAATGAATAAAAGAACAAAATTAAAGTGAAATAAAGCATGAAAGAAAGAAAGAAGTATAAAAGAAAGAAAGGAAGCGAGAGAAAGAAATGGAAGAAAGGAAATCCGAAAGAAAAGAAAGAAAGGAAGAAAAGAACAATAAAAGAAAGAATGAAAACAAAAGGAAGAAAGAAAAGTAGAAGGAAGAAAGAAAGACAGAAATGAAATGCAAATGCACTAGAAAGATGCGAAGAAAAGAGTGTATTATAAAAACGAAGAAGAAGAAGAAGAAGAAAAAAAGAAAGAAAGCAAAAAGAAAGAAATTGCTGGGCCATAGACAAACATTAAGGTGTTTCCGCTCGACTGAACGTCTCTGACCACTAATAGGACGATCCATGCATATTCATGGTTCACTTTGCATTGGAGAAGCGTCTTGTGTTTCTCTTCTTTCTGTATCTTTGACGGAACCCCTTTTGATTTGCTCGAACCCCATCCTCTCCATCGTCCATTTTCTGTTGGCTAAAATGGATCGGTTGAAGTCAATTTAGATTTGAATCGAGATTAGACGAAATACACACAAGACTTCGTATAATGCATGAACAGGCAGATATTTCCGGCCTTTCAGACATTAAAATGATGGTAAATTGGATAATGTGCCAAAGATGATGGCGGTTGTTGTTGATGGTAGTAATGGTGACGATGATGTTTCGTGGTAATTTTAATCGTGTGATGGTATTGGATGGTTTGATGACGATTATATCGGTAAGGTTTGTAGTGGTTCCCAGATAGGTTGTGTGCAGGGGTTGTGATGGTATTTGCTATTGGTATAATTACGACAGACACAATATTACTACGATGGTAGACCGGATTAATTCAATGGAATTTGGAGATAACAACAACAGTATAGGCATTTGGTTCTGATAGTATAATGATGGTTTCAATGGTATTGTAATTACTGCAATGATGTTTGAAGTTGCCATATGGGAACGAAAGATGTTGTAGTTGTAAAATTATTTTCTTTTATCGTTATTGTTGTTGCTGTTGATAATGATGATGATGACGAAAGTATTGGTATGATGGTTTCACTGGCATAGTGAGGGTATACTGTATTTGATGCAATGGTAATGTAACAGTTGCAATGGTAAACTATGATTGGTAACCCTCATAAAAAGGATGGTCTGTTGTTTTATCACAGTCTTAGATTTTTTTGTGTTTTATGGTCAGCGATAAAGCCTGTGAAATGAGGTTTTCAAAAATAACCACCCACTTAACTAAAATAAAATAAAATAATAGATAAAAAATATAAACTTTGGGGAACAAGTAAATACAAACCGGATGTTGAAGACCTCCGGTCTCAGGCTTATATTAACAGTCATAGTTGGATTGAAGTAGTGCCGGACTGCCCGTTACCGGATGAATGCTGAGCGTCGGCAAGTTTCGAGGTCACCCGGTAGAATTGCCAGGTGCACGTAGTGACTTATATGGGCAGTTGGGAGGAGAAATTCGCTGATTGAAATGGAAAAGCTATTATATAAGTCCGAGATTCCAGAAGTTGTCTCTTAGTTTCGCGTACCTATCTACCTACACCGTGCAAGAGAATCCATGAAGTAAATGACGAAACATGTTGGAAACAGGGTTCAAATTGTCATTTCTCGCCATGGCGCTTATTTTCCGCTTTTCGTTTCCTTGTGAGCATGTTGCAGCCTTTTCCCAGGTTTTGTACACATCGACACGAACGAGAATGGAGACCCAACATGGAGAGTCATTGTCCGCTCGATGAAAAGCCGAGGGAGAGCCATGTTGTATGTTTACAATATTTGCAGCAATATTACATACTGGGATAATTTGTTTTAATAAGGGCGAAAAGAAAAAGAAAAAGAAAAAGAAAAGAAAAGAAGAGACGAAGTAGCTAAGCCTTACACACGTGATTCGTACATTTCTGACAAGTGCTGAAACAATTTAACGATTTAGAATGTGGAGTGAATTGCTCGTTATATTTCAAAGAATCCTTCAGAGGATTCGTTTACAATTCTGCCCTGATGACTGAAATTACAATACCTTCCTCTTCTGATCTACAGTCATATCTATCTATCTATCTATCTATCTATCTATCTATCTATCTGGTACCTTGGCGTAGGATCATGGTTAGCGATAATAATTTAGTTGGCCACGACTAATGTGTTATGAGTTCGATTCTCACTCGTTGCATATAAAACATTTGACATTAAGTAACCTAGTGTTGTGGTACGATCCACCTAATTTACATAGTGGCGTACCGACCATATAAATAGACGAGGGAGGAAGAAGAGATCCAATCCAGAGACTCTGCCCGACTGCGTCTAAGTCAACCCATTCTACAGGAACGGTCTTCCCAAGAATATACCAAACTATCTGTAAATATTGTGTACACGTTCTTGTGTCAATACATTTTGTTTAAGTACATTTTGTGTTGTATTATTATTATTCCATGCTTTATTCAAGTTTAAACACCTAGTAAAGTTAATATTCGGTGAAATTAAACTATCTATCTATCTATCTATCTATCTATCTATCTATCTATCTATCTATCTATCTATGAGACAATCTATCTATCTATCTATCTATCTATCTATCTATCTATCTATCTATCTATCTATCTATCTATCTAAACCTGTTGATAACAAATCGCTCTTTATACATGGAATTGTTATCTTCTTTTATTATATGGAATGACCAGATGCTTTACTCTTTCCTTCACTCTAAACCAAATTCATTTTATATAATTTAATCATGTTTAGGAACAGTTCGGTCCATTAAGTCACTTGTCCATGATATTTATTCGCTTTTCACACTTGTCAACTCTATCGTCTCCCACAGTCAAAAATGTCTTCTCGTGAGGCCGAATCAGCCATATTAATTTCAAAACGACCAAGCTTTAGGAATCATTTTTTAATTGATTGAATACTTAACCTTAGCAATTTAAGATCAACTATTTCTCTATAACACATATAGGCAACATGTCGCTTCTTTAATACCCATAATATGACAGCTTGACGCACAAGACGTCAGTCGAGTAGTCACAAGGGAAAGGAAATCACGATATTGAAAGGAAAGGTTATTCAAGAGCCCGTATTCGACACTCGACTCAAGTGAGTATTTCACGGTTTGAGGACGGAAACACGGAAGAGGTTTGCCAGCTGGAAAGTGAACGATTTTCGGGAAGAGAGATAAAAAAAAACCCCAAAAACATCGATACTGAAGTAGTGGTTGTGATCACGCGATAAAATGTGAGATTAAACGAGAAGTTATTACTATTATCATGAAATTGAAGAGTAGGCATTTTTGTTTCGGCTTATATGGAATAATTATTTATAGAGGATGTGACCTTTAACCATATTATTTTTTTAAACGTCATTTCGATCTTTCGTAGCTCCAGGAGAGGCTGCAAAAGATGAAGAAACCGAATCAAACAAATAAATAAATGTATAAACCAACATCATTAACCAATCAGAATTTTTGATGTGATTATTCGCTGTAAATTGCAAAAAAGGGAATTCTTTTATAAATTCAGTTTCCCCCAGTTTTTTTCAATGATGCACAATGCCAACGAGCCACTCGAGGTAGAGGGTTACTGAGTAAGAGGTACAATCTATGGAGGTATGTAAGATAACGGTTTACCCTAAACTTGAACAGATTAAGGTTTTAGTGATCAAGGATAAGCTTCTTGAGTGGCACTTACATTTCATAAATTAAATATGAAGGGAATGTAGATGGATCGCTACAATAGCGGGTTTTAGCTTTGAAGGTTCGAACTGGTGGAACTAAGGAGTGTAGTTCGTCCGAACTCTTTCCATAGAAATAGCGATTGAGCAGCGAGAGGCTTGCGGCGTTTCGTCTGTAAGAAAGGACGCGGAGACGCTTTTGAACTCTATCGAGATTGAAAGGTGAAGACTGGGCCTCAGTACTCAATTTTCGTCCTGATCTGGTTCTTGTAAAGGTAGAGAATAGCAGGCGGAGTCAGGTACTTACTTGAGCGGTACAGGGGACTGACCATTTCTCCATCATCCTTAGCGATGACTCATATGTACAAGTTACATATGATATTTGGGACGAGTTTAAGTCCGAGTAGGCACTCTCAGCACAAAGTAAATTAACATGATGTTTGTACATACAGAATAATTGTATAGATAATGTATTTCAGAATTTCAGTCTACATAGGCCTCCTCGATTTTATTAATACGAAAGAAAATAATTTCACACTCCAGGAAGAAGCAGCTATTGATTTAATGACATGTTTATCTTCTCCTCCCACAACCACCACTTTTACCCCTCTCTCATCACCACTGTCTCAAGTGAGAAGGACACATTTTCTAAGGTGAATATTTGGAGTTAATATTCACTATCTCTAACATAATTGACTTCAGCTTTAGTTGCAGTCTTTGTCATATTCAAGGGTTGTAGGGGGGGGGGAATAATTCGTCACCCACAATGACACGGAAACGTTTTGGGACTCTATCAAGAGTGGAAAGTGAAGACTTGGCAGATATGGCATCAGTACTCCATTTTCGGCCTGGTTCTTGCAAAGGTAGAGCGTAGCAGGAGAAGTCAGGTACTTACTATAGCGCTACAGGGAACCAACCATTTTTTCCCAGCATCTTTAGCGACAGATCGTATGTACAAGTTCCACTTGAGGTCTGGGTTGGGTACGTCCCAATATGAGGTTAAGGTTTGGGGTCTCCCTAAGAGAACATTCACGATAGGCGAAAATTCAGGGCCCGCTCGGTGATGAGATGGAGTATTGTTGCATAATCATCACTTTATGGTCCTGTGTTTAAAATGTAAACTGAGACAGCATCTTTGTGGAACAGAAAGCATGAGGGTGCTTCAATATCTGTCTATATTTCTGAGATGAGGTATTATGTACATTATTTACATTATTCGGATTATTGTCCTCATCTTTGACGCCATATTTATTAAAACGTTTCGGCCGTTGTACGCTCCGGCCTTCTTCAGGTGGCTGAAATGTCGAACTAAACCCTTTATTTCGCTCACTGGGGTAGACTGTTCTAGTTCCACTTGCCATGTCTAATGGATGTCAGTTATCTCCTGTTAATTCCCCTCTCAAAGTTCTCCACCGCCTTAACCAGGTATTGAACTCACACGCTTTGGGTCCTGTCACTGGATCTACAGTGGATAAATGTGTTAGTTAGATCCAGTGACAGGACCCAAAGAGTGTGTGTTCAATACCCGGTTAAGGCAGTGGAGAACTTTCAGAGGGAAAATTAACAGGAGATAACTGATAACTGACTTCCATTAAACATGGCACTTTGAATTAGAACAGTCTACCCCAGTGAGCGAAATAAAGG